GACCAGTCATACTGTAGACTCAGAGAGTGGACCAGGTGGATTGAAGGCCCGGTGCGGGCGGACCAATCACACTGTAGACTCGATGTACATGGCGAGACTCGGAGGGTGGACCAGGTGGACTGAAGGCCCGGTGCGGGCGGACCAGTCACACAGTAGACCCGATGTGCATGGCTGTTCTGTATTGTGATATGTTATGAGTATGTTTATGTGTGGTTGGTATTTTGGGGGTAACTCACTAAGCTTTCGGGCTTACAGTTTCAGTGTATTGTTTCAGGTACTTCAGGAGATCGTGGCAAGGCGAAGGCGTGATCGTACCGCTCCTCATGTTTTATGATTTATGTGATATGGTTCTGGGGGATACTCTGATGTTTAAACTATTTTGAAAACGAAATGTATGAACGTAATGGTTTTTGAATGAATTAAAATGTTTTAAATTGGCTCAAATTTTATGGATGTTACATGGTAGGTGGTGGTAGTGGGTGATGGAGGTGGATGGTGGTAGTGGGTTGTAGGTTGTGGTGATGGGTGGTTGGTAGTGGTGATTGGTGGTGGTGAATGGTGGATAGTGGTGAGTGGTGGTTGGTGGGTTGTAGGTGGTGGTGATGTGAAACGTCCCAAAAATAAGACCCAAAAATTTCATTTTTTTAATTAATAAACCAGTATTCCAAAACATTGCCATACAAATCCAGGTAAACAAATGTATCAATCATCATGACATATCAAAGTAAATCAAGAAAATGCGGAACGAGGTGGTGTGTGCCCTGCAATCATCCCAAGCCCTTCCATTTGGAACTGGAAGTACCTGAAACATAAACTAAAAATCGTAAGCACAAAGCTTAGCGAGTTCCCCAAAATACCACTTACCATACACATTAAACACATAATCGGCCCCGCCCGACATCGAGCCCCGCTCGGTATACAGATCGGGCCCTGCCCAACATACATATAACATATATCAAATAAACACATACACACACAATAATCACAAAGATACATAGCATACAAAATGGTCATCGGACACCGCCCGATAAGCATACATGTACATAACACATTCAAGAGTAAAACAGACAACTAGCATACCAACATAGCATCATCATGGGCCGACATTGGTGCCTTCGACCTGCTAAACCCAGTGAGGAAACTCACCTCGCACTGCTGAATCACACTGATAATCCCTGGCTGTTGATCCGACAAATCCCCGAGTTATCAATATCAAATAACACCCAATCAACAATTGGATTCCAATCTATAACTATCAATCCATACTTAGGGTAAAAAGACCATTTTACCCCTTACCTAGTTTGGTCCAAGACTAAGGCCCAAACCTACAATCTAAAAGGCCCAAAACTAAGTAATCATCCAAGGCCCATACATGGCCCAAATTTCAAAATTGGGCCCAAACCCTTACATGTGCCTTACCCTAAGGCCCACCAATTTTTCCTAGTCCAAAACACTTGCATTTAGATGACCCAACAAAACCCCAAGCATCTAAGCCAAAAAGAATGGCCCAAACCCGAAGCCCAAAACGCGAAGCCCGTCAGACTGAGTACGCAGGGCGTACTCAGCACGTACGTACAACGTACTCGCTTGAGGGCTTGTACGCTAAATGTACCTGCTTGTACGCCCAACATACTCACCCATTCAACCAAAACTCATTTTTACCCTTAATCCATTAAGACATTGCTCCAGAACGTAGATCTGACTTCCTTGAGCTGGATTATCACGTAAAGTTGCTAACTTTACGTTCATGCATGGCTAAATGAAGCTCTTAAGCTTAAAAAGGACTTAATAGATGACTTAATGCATGCATAAGACCCATACCCCATAAAGTTGTCACCTTTATGCTCAAGGAACCCCTAATAAGCTCAGATCTAAAAGAATAAGTCCTTCAAACATCTTTAACTTATCCACCAACCCAAAAAGGGACCAAAAGCATAACAAATCAAGCCATAAAGAGATCTAAGCATTTACAAGCCAATGTATGAACTTGATACCTCCAAAGTCTTGCAAAAAGGGTGATGATTTTGGATCTATAGACTCCTCACCAAGCAAAGCAGCTTCAATCTTCTTTACTTCCTTCACAAAGGGAAAAATAACCACCAAAATCTTCTCAAGAGCTCAAGAATACCACAAAGAAGGCTTAAGGGTCGATTTAAGGTTTTAGGAGGTTTGGGGGCTGGTAAAGAGGTCAATCCTAGGGACTTAAGGTCCTTAAATAGAGTACAACACCCTGAAATTAGAGTTTCATAAACACCGAGTACGCTAAGCCTAACCCTCGTACGCCTAGCACACGAGGCATCACAATCCCGACTGCCAACTCACTTAGTACGCTAAGCGTACCATGTGGTACGCCCCGCTACTATTCCAAGGGCTAAAATGAAACATTTCAAAATAAAAGGGCAATAAGGACCATACCAGAGATCCAAGTGTTACATGATGGGTGGTGGTGGATGGTAAGTAGTGGTGGAGGGTGATGTTGGTTGGGTGGTGAGTGGTGTTGGTTAGTGGGTTTTTTAGTTATTTGTAACTATTTTTTGATTTATATAATATTATTTTATAATTTTATTTAAAAAAATTGTGTGATCCAAATTTGATTTCAAATGTTCTCGCAATAAGAAATGTTCTCGATTAAATGCTCCCATATATATATATATATATATATATATATATATATATATATATATATATATATATCAATTAAGTCTCAAATACCTGTAATCGTATTCAATTTAACCCTTTGACCCGGTTAATATGTCATCCAACTTTCAAAAATTACATTTTTGGCCCAGATTTCAAAATTATTACAAATTTGTAAAAAAAACTAAAGTTAGGATGAATATATATATATATATATATATATATATATATATATATATATATATATATATTATATATATATATATATATATTCATAATTCAATGAAAAAGCTTATAATTATGATTTCAAAAGATTTTCACTATTAGTATGAAATCATTTAATAGATATTGAGTTTAATTGTCATTGAATTTTTTAATGAGAAAAATAAAACATTTTAATTATTAAATATGCCATAAATTGAATTTTATAAATATCTTTCATTGAATTTTATAAATTCTAATATATTATTGGAAACTTTTGTTAAATACGAATAATAAAATAGTTATATAACAATCCGTTGAATTTTTATGAATCAATGTAATGTGAGCGTCCTACTTGCTATAAAATTAAAAAAAGAATGCCATAGTAAAATTCTTCATACATCTTTGTTTTGTAATTATTTGTTTAGAATAATGAGAATTTCTAAAACAAACAAAACCACTACTTCTTGAACACACTACACGGAAAAGTCACGACCCTTTTCTTTGTCAATGACATTTGAGTTCACACTGTCAGTAACACCACACAAACACACACAACGTGGCCGTCACTCTTTAATCCACCTGGGAAGCTTCTCCCACATTTACGTCTATTCAATCCTAACTAAACGTTACCAAATATCAATTATAAGTTATAACTACCTTTTATTAAATTAACTTTACTAAATGAGAAATCTCCAGAAAAGTCCCAAAGTTTTGGGCAAATTTATGATCTAGTCATAAATTAAATTTTATTAATAAAAAAAGACAGGAAACCGGCTATTGTAATCAATTTAACCCTTTTTACCTTTTGTAGCAGGTTAATGCCGATGTGGCATGCCAAATGGATTGTTTGGCTGAGGTGGCTGCTAATGTGGCATGCTCTTTCTTTATAATTTAAAAAATCTAATTTTTTGGAGAAAAAGGGGAGGGGACTCGAACCCAGGACCTCCCACTCCCAAACCTTACATCTTACCATGTGAACTAGAAAGTTTAATTGTTATTATTTCATTAACTTTATATATAAAGTTCTATAACCTTCGTCTTCCTCCTTACATCAGCCCAACAGGACCATTCGATATACCTTTAGTCTTGCCTTCATTTTCTTCCCCAAAACCCTGTCGAAACTCGAATTATTTTTCTAATTCATCAGTACGTCCACCAAAACCTATATGAAACCGACACTTATTGAGATTGAACAAGAAGATGTCCAACCCCATAAAACTTCGCTTCAAAAACAATATCTTGAATCTCAAAGCTTTTGGCTTTTGATGGAAGACTCCCTGTTCTTAATAGAGATAAAAGAATCGAAACCAATTCAGAGTCTATCAATAAAAGTGATTGTGTGGTTGTTCAGAAGAATTGAAGAGGTTGGAGAAAAGGTTATCGGACTAGCTAGGTTTAGGATTTGTATGGTTGTTTGAAAGAGTTCACCACCTACATCAATGGTGACTATGTTTGTTCCGGTGAAATCATGACGATTCTTGGAAACCCACTTGAGAGGGATTTGACTGTGAAAAGAGTGGCATGAGATGAGAGAATCGAAGTTAGAAGAAAGATTTGGGGAAGAAGAAGGGTTAGAGGGAGAAAGATGCGAATATTCAGATGGTAATTAAGGGTAAATTATCAAGACTTTATAACTACATTTGAAGAAATAATAGCAATAAATGCTTCTAGCTCACATGGTAAGGTAAATGGTTTGAGAGGCGGAGGTCACGAGTTCGTGTCCCCTCCCCTTTTTCCTCCAAAGAATCAGATTTTTTAAATTATAAAGAAATAACATGCCACATCAGCCAAACAATCCATTTGGCATGCCACATCAGCATTAACCTGCTACAAAAGGTAACAAGGGTTAAATTGATTACAATAGCCGGTTTTCTGTCCTTTTTCATTAATGAAATTTAATTTAGGACTAGATCATAAATTGGCCAAAACTTTAGGACTTTTTTGAAGATTTCCCTTACTAAATTTATAATTTATAATTTTTAGAAGACAAAACCTTTTTATTTATTTATTTATATAATAACATGATTACCTCATCACTTACGCGCTTACACGTAATATTGGCGAGTAACTCTTCCATACCTTACCCAACAAGACACTCTCACACGCATACTTAACGTTATCCACACACGACACTATATAAATACTTAAATACCACCTCAATGTTCCCACAGCTCACTCAAAAACATCATCTGGAAAACAAATTTCAAGAAACTTTCGATCAATATCATATGACGGTGAAAAGACAGCTAGAAGATGACACAGATCATGAGATCGAGAACATGGCCATGGCTAACTGCTTAATGCTACTCTCTCGTGTGGGTAAATCAAGTTCTTCGTCGCCGGAACCAGGCCGGTTGTTTCACTGTAAGACCTGCAACAAACCGTTTCAGTCGTTTCAAGCGCTTGGAGGCCACAGTGCCAGCCATAAACGACCGAAGTTAAACGATGAACATAATCAATCTCCGGCGAAGCCCAAGACGCATGGGTGCTCGGTTTGTGGACAGGAGTTTGCCATCGGGCAAGCGTTGGGTGGTCATATGAGGCGGCACCGTGATGATGCCACCGGAAAAACTATCCAGATGGCGGGGAAGAAACAAAGTGGGACTGGGATGAGAGGGTTGTGTTTGGATTTGAATTTGACTCCGTATGAGAACGACTTGAAGATGTGGCCGATTGTTACATAATTAGTAATTAGTAATGTAATTAATTAGGGTTTTCTGTCATCAAATTATTTGTATAAACGAGTTCGTATATCTTTTAGATACAAATTTTGGATTTATTATATTACATTCTAATCATTTGATAATGGTTTTTGGAACATTTCTTTCATGCAATACTCGAATTGATCTGGGGATGTTGAGAATATGAATTAAATGATCGTGGCTAAACTTATCAAACTATTTTAGCTTAGATAAGTAGAAAACAGAAATCACGTCTACGATAGAAGGTTGACACGACGTATGGTCAGATATAAATGAGTTGTTAATGGGAAGAACGTATGGATCAAGTAATTAAAGGCTTAAAGCTAATCTTTGAATTTGAATTAAGGACGAAACTATTGTGAGCGTGTTTGGTTACCAAAGAAATAGAATTCAATATTGTTGAAATCTTAATTCACATTCCATTTAGTAGTTTTTCATCATTCCACGGAGGGATGTTATTCGGGTCGGAACCGACCGAACCCGAATAACCTGAAAACTGAATAAGACTAATTGGAGGAACTGGAAATCAGATAGATTAACCCAATAACAGTTCGGTTCGTTTCGATTATTAATCGGTCCGGTTCGGTTATTAACCAAATAACATTTACAATATGATTAAGTATCTAATATAACCGAAAAGAATCAAACAAACGGAATAAACCGTATAATCTTCTCAATATTCTTATAATTATTGTATTTTTATTACTTTTGGCTTATGAATCCATAACAAAATGCTTAAAGAAATTAATTTGTTGATTAAAAATAGTGCAAAGTATACATAACTATTTCATAGGTGCAAAAAAGGTAATTTGTATAAAAAATAGTGCACAGTAATGACAAATACATAATTGTAGGTTTACATGTAATCTAATTACCATAGTGATGTATATTTATTTATTTGGTATGTTTTTAGTTCTCAACTTAACGGACCCAATATTCAATATACACTGAAAATGATTTCACTTTTTCTTAAATTTAACTATCTTTTACTTCATGTCTATAGACATTAGTTTCTTGGAGCCCTGATCAATCCCACGAACCGACTAACACCAAATAAAGATCAATCATCAATTAACAACCTAAATCCTTCAAGTTTGACCCTAGGTCAAACTGGTCAAAATTCAACGGTCAACGGTCAACAAAAGTCAACGGTCAATCAATGTCAACATCCACCACGACGTAGAGACCACTTAGCCACGTCATGGGCATGTCAGGACAAAATAGTGGACATGTAGGACATCGTCGCATCGTAGGCCCTCATTGACCACGTCGTGGGCATGTCAGGACAACACAATCATGAATCTGAACTCCACCACGTCGTGGGCCCTCCTTGGCCACGTCGTGATTGCTGGCAGATCTCTCATTTCTTCATTAAGAGCTTAATCCATACAGATTAAGGCCCAAAACTTCATTTCTAGTCCTTATCAATGAATTAATGGATAAAGTTTCCAACTTTATCTATTAGGACCTCACCCCAAAGCAAGATCTACAAGCCTATGTCCATTAAGTCGTTAATATGACCAAAACTTATGTATGGGATCAAGAACACTCAAACTAAAACCTTTTTCTAACTTTATCAGAATTCCTTGACTACAAGATTGTCATAATGAGCTCTAGAGTTCCCTAAACTCCAAAAGCATCCAAGAAGGGACCAACATCAACCAATAATGACCATAAACATGAATCTCAAAAGAACAAGGTCAAGGTGCAAGCTTTATACCTCCAAAGGTTTAGAAACTTGAAGAAAATGATGGATTTAGACTTTGCTCTTTGCTTCCTTGCACCAAGAAGAAGTTGCCTCCTCCACAAGCTTCACCAAATCAAGAAAATAACCTCGAGATCAAGCCACCAAGCTCATAATCATGGAAAGGAGGCTAGAGTTTTGAATTTGGAGGTGGAGGTTGAAGGAGATGACCTAATTCAAGAGTTAAGGTGTTTAAATATGAGAGAAACCCTAAAAATCATGGGCTTGGGCTGCAACAACCACCACATCATGACATCCCTCATGCCACGTCGTGGTGTCCAACAAAATATGTGTTCCATCCAATGTTATGTCACGTCGTGTCATTCCATGCACCACGTCGTGGCATAAGGTTTTCTCCAAAAAAAAAAACCTTATATTTGACCCCCTTAAAGTATTCAACTGATCCATTCTAGAACATGGGTGTTATAGAACTAAACCGAATTAGGCATGAAAATGCAATCTGGTTTGGTTTTCGGTTATCTATATTAGGCTTATTTGGTTCTTAGATTTTTCGCTACACTAAATCGGTCGAACGCGTTCCTTGTTCCTTACTTCATAAATATATCTCAAGATTTGGTGTTTGGATTTTACATTCTTACCGGATTGTACACCTTTGTATCTTGCTATGTATATGGATGTGCATATAGAAGGGACGGAGCATCTTTATCCTTTTTGATATTTGGGAAAATGACTCATGAAGGTAATTATGTTTTAAAACCATTCAAAAAATACGATCTAAGTTTTATATGTTTAAAAAACACCATTTAACTAAACTATTTGTACAAAAAACGCCAACAAACTAAAGACTTTGTTCAAATATCATCTAGTGGTGACCGGCTCTTGCAGGTTCATGATGGATGTTACCTAGAGCTACCAATAAATTATTACATTATATAAACAATAAACAAATAAAATATAAACCTCCACATTTCCATGAAACCAAGAACACCCATGTTTATCTTCTTCACAACCAACAACCCAACTCCCACCAGCGGACCACCTATTCCCTCCATAACTAGCTTCCCTTAAATATACAACTGCCGGAATCATCACCATTTTAACCTTGAGCTACACAGTAAATCCATTTCAGACCACACATCACTATAGCTATCTTCCACTACCCTTTACAATTTACACGACTATTTACTAGCACATACCATGAAATCGGAACTTCCACCTCAAACACTGGACCTCAAAAAGATCACAAACAATACCCAACAAATTAACCGAGAGCACCAGCCACCGTCACCTTCATAGCCCATCATCATCTCAGTCGACCACCCCACACAACCGAAACCACCATGAAACACTAACCACTAGATCCGAATCAACCGATACCACCTGCTCCAGTCGAGAAAACCACCACTTATCATCACCTATTTTCGTCGAAATCACCATCGAAGCCACCCTTCAAACACCGTGAATCACATTAGAACACCCACTATCGACACCAGCTCCACAGGAAACGTAAACCACCCTTATTCCAGCTACCTGCTTCACTTCACCGGAACACCATCCAAACTTCTCCTAAGACCACCACATCCTCCATTAAAACCACCCATCTGTTTCCTATCACATAGCCGAGAACCACCGGTATACGACCACCATCGACTGCTCTATCTCTTGCCATAGTCACCTCTTTTGAACACCACAACCAGTTTGTTGGCTTAATTCAGAAATCTGGGACAAAATTAGTCCCATGGGTATTTTCAGGAAAGTTTCATATTTTAAGGTTTGTGGGTTAGTTTATGATTCGTTTGTGTTTAGTATAAATAGGATAACATAATTGATGTTTTGTATGAAATTTTTATTCCCGTTTCCTTAATAAAAAATTAAAAACAAAGCAATTTTCCAGAAAAGTTTATTTTCCTATGTCTTCTATGTTTGCTCCTCCTTTTCTTTACGTTTTGTCTATGTTGCTTTGTTTCTGTCCTTGTTGTGATTTGAGTTTGATTATCTCACATATACCTTGGTGAACAAGTGATAATCTACAACCTACAGTTCTTATTCCATATTATCTTTCTTCCCGTTCCTGCCCTTGTTTTGGTTTATGCACAAGTACTGTTCAATTCTGCAAGAATCAAGTGAATTGATTCATGCACATATCGTATTATATTAGAATAAAAATAGTTGATCTCTTACGCAATCGACTACCTATACATCAAAACAATCTTATACTAATATCACCATCGAAGCCACCTTCCATCATCCTATACACCTTAAAAACCTATCGAGCCTAAGCACCACCGTACACCACCATGTCATTGTTTTTTCCTTTTAATTAATTGTTTCCATTGAAGGGAAATAAATGAAGTATGATTAGAACTTCAATGATTCAACTGTGCGTGACTATGAAGAACAAAGGAAGAAGACATGTTTTTTTTTCTTGGGGTAGTTTTCTGGGTTTTCTCTTGAATGAAAATAGTTAAATAAAATCAACCAGTAATATCTTTGCCTCACCCATAATATTCGGTGACCAAGAGGTGTCATTTGAACAAAGTCTATAGTTTATTTGTGTTTTTGTATAAAAAGCTTATTTGGATAGTGTTTTTAAACACATCAAATTTGGATGGTATTTTCTGAACAATTTTCAAACATAATTACCTTAATAAGTCATTTTCCCATGATATCTGATATTACATCCGTCCCATATTTATTGTCCACTTTTGACTTTTAAAGTCTTTATTCTTCAACTTTGACCTTAAATATTGTTTTTGATATATAATACTTGATGCAAAATATATGAATGGATTGTGTTTTAAATGTCTTTTTATTGTTATAAGTTTCATCAACTAATTTATAACACAAGTAAAAATATTTAAGGTCAAAGTTGAAGATAAAGACTTCAAAAGTCAAGTGGACAATAAATATGGGACAAATGGAGTATTTAAGAAGAGAATATATGATATTTGGATGTTTAAGAATGACATATACGATAATTTAAAATTATATGAAGTGTAAGTATGATATTTAGAAATTAAGTTGGCACATATGATATTTTTGTTGTTTAATAAGGGTATATACGAAATTCTCCCCTGGCGAAATTTCATATATGCCCTTATTAAACGTCTAAATATCATATTTACCCGACTTAAAAACTAAATATCATATCTGCCCTTTTTAATCTTTTAAAATACCAAATTTGCCCAAATCTATTTTTTAATATTTAATAATCATTTTTATATTGTAAAATCATTAAAATTGAAAAGAAACTAAATGGACCATTTTGTCACTTCAT